CGTGACGTAAGGGCTTGTGGGAGAGAGCAGGTAACACGATTGTTTCATGCGAGTCACAACGTAAACATATTCCTCATCAATCTTCATAAATATAGATCGAAATCTAGACTAATGTAAAGAGGTTGGGCGTTGTAGCGGATAAAGGAGTTCAGAACCAGAAAAATTCATCTTGAACTTTTTGCCTACGAAATTTTTTCACAGGAAATTGGGTTTCAAGCGTTTTACACTGATGGCTAACGAGTGTGCGATATTTCCTAATCAAATGAGCGGCATGCAGTTTTCTGGCCCTCAATGATATGTATATGGGCTGCAGCCCAAATACACTGACACAATTGCAAGAGAAGGTCTTACGATCGTTATCTAAGAGACAAGAGGAAGAGAATTTACAAGTGGTTCCTGAAAACAACAATGTTTTTTGACGATTATTCTTCGAATCCCTGTCAATTGACGTTACGAAACCGGAGACTGCCCCGGCTCAAGACTGCTGCCTTTTATCAAGACGAAAATAAACTTAGCGCTCATTTCCCATGGAGTCCAGGATTGCATAAATCACCAATAACGACTACGTGTACATCTTTAGAACCCTTAAAGCACTCCCACATTTCCATTTTCGCCGCTTCTGAAGAGTCCAGGTTTTTGTTCGGCGCCCAGAAGTCCGTTAGCCATGATGGTGTTAAGCCCCACGTTCGGCCGAAAGCCTTCCGAAGATCTCTCCGTATACTTACCGGAGAATTTCCCCAGCAACGACTTTTAGAGCGTCTTGAGCGATCGATTACCAGTACAGTGTTCCAGTTTCCTTCCGTTGAACAAGATCAGGATGAAGCTAAGGAAACAAAGCGCAACTGTAATGAGAAGGAAATTTCTGACGAGAAGGAGATCGACGTTGAAGACATAAAGGTTTATGGGGAGGAGGAAAATGGGTTTTATTTAAACACGCGAGGTATTCCTTGATTTTAACGATGCCGAGTACTTTGGAGGTACTGAGATAGTTAAAGATGACTTCCAAAAGACGCCTAATTTGAATCAGACTAAAGACGGAAAGAAAAAAAAAGAGAAGCAATAAAAAGGCAATGTAGACTGTTTCTTAGGGATTGGTTTTAGGAATGGACTCGAACGAAAACGTCGAAGGAAATGAATTCCAAATATGAAAAAATTGAGGAGATTTATACCCGAGCTAGAGAACAGACAGAAAGCTTCGAAAAATACTCGTACTCAGAACCGCAGCACAATACATAAAAGAACTACAGAGGCAAGATGAACTACTTAGTAAGCAAAAAGACACGGAAAAACGTAGGAATGAAGAACTACTGAAAAAGCTTGTAAAAATAAATTCGTAGTCCAAGCTTAAATAAAAATCGACAAACATAAATTTCAAAAGATAACGAACTGTCGCATATACCAATAGTTTGTATTTCATTAAAATAAAATAGCTACAGCGAAACGGTTTGTATCTGTTGCTTTTCTCGTTGAGTTTTGGCGAGGCTAAGAGAATTTTGTTTAATTGGTTTAGACTGCATTCAAAATGCCTCTACCGTTCTTAACTTTTTTAAAACTACGCGACAGAAAAAGTGGGCTGTGTTAATTCTGTCGTACGCGTCTCTAGGTGACACTCTCCTTGAACAAGCATTCCACCTTAATGGAAACTTAAGCTTCGAAGCTAACTTGGATACAAACCAAACTATCTGACTTCTTGTCAAGCTTTTGTACATTTAAACGTAGAACAGCTTCAATGGATATGTGCTTTACATTTTTTATCTGTCAAATGACTCTGGAAATTCTACGGAAAGAAAATAAATTGTATCTTACATATCTATATGTATGTATCTCTTCTCTTAGCATCCGGGCACTTCAATCGTATAAATTTACCCACGGGCGGGATTTTACAACTGTTTTAGTGAGATAGCCACCCAGATTAAGAGACACTTACAGAGTTCTGATTGTTTTGTTCAGTAAAGTCATAACAGCTGTATTATGATATACTTTCCTCCCACTAGACAATGTCGAAATCTGGCGCGAACGTGAGACAGGGGAAGGCTTTAAGTTCCCCTTGCGGCATTTTGCTCTTGGTAGTTTCCACTTCGCGCGCGCGGTCGGAAAGTCCACCAATTTTGGCGCAGACAGCTCGATAGCGATGACTATGATCATTGCTGAGACCTCCTGTAGCCTGAATGATTTGCTTTTTTCTTCTTTTTTTCTCTTGGACCCAGATATTACCGATTCAGAGTAACTTTTAGCACTGTATTTATGTTCTTTAGTTAAAGATCGAGAAGAATGGGAGCACATTTCAACATTAACTCCCAAGATCTGATTGGTAATTCTCCCTATAAGCCGCTACACATTTCTTTCGGAATCCGTAACGAGAATTTGGTGTTAAATCAATGTAATAAGTTCTATACCTGATAAGTTTGAGTGATCTCAAAACCTGTTCGGTGGATAATGTATGGATATTATAGGGAGAAGTTACATGTTAATCACCTGTGAGAGTGAGAGGGTCGAAACTATCCAAAACTTCTTGCGCATAGGGTCAGGAGTTGAACAGGTGGAGTGGCAAAAACCCTAACAAAAAGTTCGATCTAATTCCAAGTCACCATTTGCAGGGAGGTTAGAAGGAAATAGCTGAACAAACCACGCAGAGAAGGAGGAGTATACCACTGCTTTTCTGTTACTAAAGTAAAAAAAAAGTAAAGCCTTTAAGGCCGTCGCTTCACTCCGGTTTCCTTAGCAGGATGCAGCTAGGAGTATTGCCACTCCCCCATGGATGAGATGCTAATCCATCGCAGAGTTACTCCAGTATACTTGATGGTACCCATTTGTACATCTGGGTAAAGAGAAGCAATGTTAGAGTAAAGTGTCTTAACATAACACAATGACCCCGGCCAGGGCTCGAACCCGGACCACTCGATCGGGAGTCGAGCGCACTAACCACGAGGCCACCGCGCCTCCACTCTGTTTCTAATGTGTCCACAAAATTACCAAATATTAAGCTTGCTACTTTTATTCTCGCTTGTTTGTGTTTCTAACCATTGGAGGTTACTATCATCTGTCGCTGGAGCTATAGTTTTTAAGCACAGGTGATCAAATTCAGCGATAGTTTTGCTAAACCCGAAATAGCAGTTGTTTTGAAAGAAACTCATTGCACACAAAAAGAAAACAACAGGAAGAAATTTTGAACTCAAAGGTCAAGTCCATTGCCAAAATAATTTCACAATTATAACCTTGACACTACTTTCGGCCCAAATGTTTCGGGCAAATATTAACGCGCTTGAAACAAGCCGGAAACAGACCGAAAATAGAAAGCGGGTCAACAATTTGACAGAATAACAGATTTGATTTAAATTCTCAACGGCGTTACTGTGATATTTAATGTGGGAAGACTTAGAATTAACGCAACTGAATTTTATGATGACTTCCGTTCAGCTGCAAGTTGCTGAAAGATCTGTCTTAGTCAGAATCAACAGATTTCTCTTCTTCAGGAATACCCTAAACGGAACGAACACAGTATACATGACTGTTTATACTCTGGTTCTAAAGCTTTCGATGATGGCATGAAAATTCTTTCTAGAACTTTTAATAAACAAAAAAAAAATAAATCAACAATTTTTTATTTAAACTAAAAAAAAACTGCCCGACAGAAATCTAGTCCTTTCTTTTTTAAATTAAGTTCATTCACTCTAAATCAATTCAAAATAAATTTCCATCGTTGACTGGAATCACTTCGGGGAGGCAAAAAAAAATCGTATTTTTAATATTTCTTGGATAGAAATAGAAGTGTAGGCATAAAAACGACCAAAGTTGGGTAACGAAAATTAGTTACCGCCTCCGTCACTTCCTGGATGTTTTATGACACATTGCTTTTTTGAGGAGTCTATTTTTTATGGGTCTCTATAGAGTCATATAAATCTGTGGATACATGAATTTTCTTTTGCTTTCAATGCACTATTTCGTTCACTTCCTGACAGCTATGACACAAAAGTAAACCAAAATATGACAGATAAGGCTTTCTCAAGCTGACTTATGACGACCGGATCACTCTATTTTCAACTGAAAACTCTGATGATATACCACGCAGAAAACTTAGTCTTGCCAAAAATAGGAGGTTTAAGAGCAATGCAAGCTGCAAACTTCTCAGAACGATTTATAACTCTGCCATCAAAGAAATGCATATGTCGGAGAGGGTAACTTTTTTTATTTTTCACAGCTTGATTAGGCTTAAAAAAATTAAAAATAAAGAACAAAGTTGTCGCTTTCAAGCTTTCTGTTACACCACGATGAAGTTTTGTTATATAATTCTATGCTCTAATTTTTTTTTTTTTTTTTTTAACAGATAACCTTCTAAAAGTTCTCGCTGAGTAGGAAAGGTATTTCTCGAAAATTCGCACTGTGTGCGTTCCTAGCTGTCTCATGCGCGTCGAAGTCTTTAGTTTTTCACGAATTTTCAGCGTCTATCTTTTGATTCCGCTTAAAATGCCGTGCATGACATGTTTTACATACGTTTATCAGTTTGATACAAATACAATTCAGCTGTGGCAAATATCTCATCGATATCAGAAGATCCATATTTTTAGAATCCAGTCATTCAAATTATGACAAACACGTTTTGCGAAACAACGAGAAAGTCGTTGTTTCGCACGAAAATGACTTGATCACGCTATCAAAAATATATTCAGTCCTAGCGTAGAACATTTTCAAAGAAGGCTGCATTAAAGCTTAAAGGCTAGACGGAGGTGTTTCTTCGCACAAAATTTCCAAATATCTTGAGGTAACCTTATAGTTAAAATTGAATTAATCAATTGCTATGGCAACGTGCCAACATATTTACATGTGTTTCCCGTATGCGTAAAACCCTAATGCTGTCGTTTCCATTATAGTACTCACGACACGCAGAAACAAAGCAGATCATGTCATGACAATACGTCGTTCGTAAGAATCTGTTGAATAACCTTCGAGCCCAAAAGCTCAGACAGAGGAGAGATTGATCAATTTAACGCTGTTGATTCGAAATGTTTCCCATGAACGACGAGTCAGCGATGAAAGAGCGCAGCGAAGAGGATGTTGATTATTTATTCCTTGCAAGCGTCGATTCTTCTTCTTCGTCAGAAGATGAGAGTGAAAGCGGTGATATCCTCAATGTGAGCTGTCACAGTAATCACTTTAAAAGGATGAAGGCCGAACCGGATCAATGCGATGTGTTCGCCATAAAACGAAGAAAATTTCACACACAGCTAGACCTCCTCGATTCAGATCTGATGTTGATGACTGTTGACGTGAGCAAACCAAGCAACGCTGTCGAAGAATCGTCACCTCGTCCAGTTCGACGTCCAAGGAAAGTGCCGCGGAGTAAGCGAATGTCGAAAAAGACTGATGTTGTCTCAACTTCAATCAATGGATAGGAAAATCCATGTCTGACAATTTCAAATGGCTACGGTTGACTGCTAAAGATCGAGAACGATTGAGCAGAACTGTGTACACAAATTTTAACTTGGCAGGAAGGGAATTGCGAACTTCCTCGACGGCTTGGCAAGTTTTGCCTGTTACAAGAAATCTAATTTTTCTAAGGAAGGCATTTCCTAATAATTAATCATTGCAGAAGAATTTAAATTTTACTCTTTGAAAGACAAACAGAAAATTAAGGAATAACCACGAACCTTCATAACCACGTATTGGAGAAGAGAATAAACACTACGTGAAATCAAGAGACTACTCTTGGAGTGAATATTATGGAAAAATGTATATAGCGATAGTACAGAACAAAAATATATATTATTTATTCAAATATTTATTTCTAAAAACCGCGATAATCGGCAAACATGATGTAAATGTTAAAATAGAAAATAATGAGTCAATGAATTGTGAACTGTTCTGAGATTTTCTCAAGTGTTTGCTAATTATAACTGACGCTCGTAATCTTTTAGTAGATTGACTTAAATGCGAAATAACTCCTGAAAAGTCTAGCATTTTCCACTAGAAAGATTTAATCCGATTTGTAGACGGCAACTGACGACTAACGACTAACAGCCACCCAACCGAATTTATTTTTTTTGTTTTGGTTACACTTAAGTAGTGAGTTCACGTTACTGCCAAAAACATTTCTGTTCCTACCGATTTGCTATCAGATGCGCCAATACTAAAGCTTTCTTTCCATCGAAATATCGTTTCAAAAATAAATTAGGCAGAAAATTTATTCATTGTTTTGTCATGTAACCACGAGTGCGAAAGGGTTGTTTACCTGTTTACGGTCTGTTTGGCACGTTGCTAAGGAAAATACTTGAGTATGCATAGTGAATGTTATTGAAAGGAAAATTACAAGTTCGAGATCTAGAATATAGAGAGTACAGAATATAAAGCAATACAGAATATAAAGCAAGGGAGCGAACGCTGATATCGTTGAAGATCAACCATTCCGACATATGCTCAGTTTTCTCTTTTTTCCGTGTGGAAAAATAACTTTCACTATTTTTTGATACCCAGTCATTGACTAGAACAACTAGACTCCGTCGATAAGATGTCCAAATTCCTAGGATATCACAAATCACATAGAGACTGATTGTGCTCGTAAACTATGTTTGCTTACGCAGCGCTCAACATGTTATGTGGTTACTATATTGTTGTTATGGTTTTGATCACGTCTGTATGTACCAAATCTTAAGGACAGGTGGTGACTTATGTTATGAAATGGAAAACGAACGTCAGCGACACTTAGTGATTCGAAGCTGAAAGAAGCAACTGACTGACTAAGACAGAAAATCAAAATGAAGTCATTTTTCTCCAAAATTTGTAACTGAAATGTGGGATTTCATCTGTTCACATGGATGCTAATTCATTCAGAAACAGAGAACTGGAAGTCACAGTTCAATATTTTTCTAGAAAGTTTGTTTTCTCGGAATTCAAATTTTGACTGAGAATGGAAGTGTAGCTAAGAGTGGGTAGTTCGACCACAAAAGGAACCGGAAGTGAATATAATGACCATAAATGGACATACCGGCACTACTAAGTCAGAAACAGAGAACTGAAAACCAAAGAACAATATCTTTCCAGAAATTTTGTTTCTGAGAATTTATTTTTGATTTAGACTGTACACGAAAGTGCAGCTAAGAGTAGAGGGTTTGACCACAAAAGGAAGCGGAAGTCGATAGAGGAACCAAAAATGCATGTACCGCCAGCATATCAGTAAATTTTAAAACGTATCTTCACTAAGTATTGCTACATCGTGAACAAATTGAATATCTCAATTTAAAATCCATCAAACATTTCCCCTCGTGCGCAATTAGAGGTAGGGCGCTCTATCACTTGGCCAAGTATGCTAATTATAATTTTCAATTTGCACACCTTACGTATTATGAGAGAGAAGCCTTCACTTCAAGATGGGACAGTGTAAGAGAGTTTTTCTGTTGTCACATGAAAGAAATAATCACCCCACGTTCTCAACAAATCAGGAGTGAGGCCAGTTGCGACCTGGTTATCGCTTTTCCCGCGCTTTTTGCCAGTTACGTCCTTCTACCTAAAGTTCTTATTGATTATTATTTCCCTTTCTTCTGATTGGTCGTTATGATACTGTTGGTTACTACTCTTAATTGAAAAATCCCTTCGCCATGCTGAAATAGGAAGAAGTTGAATCATAGAAATTCAATGGAAAATGTGAATAGAAATTAAGCAGTGGACAGTCCACGAGGTAGCTCTTTCTATCCAATATTTCCAAGTCGAATTGGAATTTGAAATGTTAGTTTCTGTGGAAAGAGGAAGACCGGAGGATCAGGAGGAAAATCCTCGGAGCAAGGACGAGAACCAACAATAAACTCAACCCACATGTGACACCAGGTCCGGGATTTGGGTCACAGAATCGACCACAGTAGTGCGAGGCCAGTGCCCTCACCTCTGCTTATTGTGGACTGCCCCGCTCCGCTTATCAGCCTCCAATACCACTGGAACTACCTTGAGTCAGACCCCCACCTCTTCCCAACCTCTCTAGCTAAGTGCTAATATTTCTCAAGCTTTCCCTCGTCTTCACTATTATCGTTATTATCCCCATCGTCATTACTATCTTCATTCCTACCGTGGAGAATTGATCTGACTAAGCCTTAACGTTCACTCCTAGAAACCAACTCTTAAAAAAAATTTAATATTATCCCAACTCTCTTGGCTACTTCTTTCCATACCAAATGAATGTAGAGCGATGAGAAGAACCCTTACACAGTAACTGTATTCACAAGAGATCCCTTTTCAATGCACTCTCGGGGAACGGAAAAGTGTTTTTTTTTTCTACAGCGCCTCGTCAATTGCCCTAATTAGTAACAGCAATAAGCTTGCAGTTGATCTTCTGGGCTCAGTTGTTCAAAGGACGGATAATGCTACCCAACGGATAAATCGCTATCCAGAGGTTAAGTGTGTTAACAAACGCACTGTACTATCCACTGGATAGAGATTTATCCAGTGGATAACGTTAACCGCAACTTTGAACAATTGTGCTAGGTAATCCAAATACAAACGAACGACTTTTGCAGAGAACAATTGACCAACAATCTAGAATTTCTCAGGTTTGATATCGAATAAAAGAGACCAGTGGTTTTGATGTGGCTACAGGTTGTCCAACTAGCAGAGGAATTTTTTTCAATGATTCCTATAACAATGAAGTATAATCTATTCTTGCTAACACAATTGTACCTGTAGTGTTTAAATTTTCTTTATTTGATGAGTAAATGGGCCACGTGGAATTCTTAATAGACGCACTTAACTCTTTGATAGAAAAAACCGTGCAAATCAGTGGATTGTTTTTGCTCTCTTTCTGTGGTTCCATTTTCGGAAAACCGTTAACGAATTAAAAATCATATGATATAATATGCTAAGAGATACAATTGCAAATTTTCAACATTTAGTAACGTGAAGAACTTAAATGACTTTTGCGAGATTTTTTTTCATGCTTTCGTATTTTCAAGACAGTGTAAATTTCAAAGAGGCAATTCAACTAATTTTAAGAACAATTGTCAGCTGTGTCTATGGATTGAATGCTACCTTGAAAGGCCTTTGTAAGCGAAATACTCGGTTGGAGGCTTTTTAAACCGTGAGTTTTTAGAATTTGTCGGCCTCTGACTTGTTAAACAAAACAAATTAAATTGAACATCGCAAACTCATTTCTAGGAGTACCAACACAGTAGACTATCATCTATACTTACCCGCGAAAAGCTCCGAATGCAAAATTTTACTTCTCATTTGCTTGGCAAGGGGTTCGAATTTCCTTGGATTTCCGTTGGTCTTGTGGGTTTTAAAAGAGTGCTTTAGTTTTTATTGCATGTCAAAAACGCGTTAGCCACAGGCAATAATTCAAAATTGACATTTTAACAATGAAAGTTTCCCTTTTGATGTCTCAGCCGGTAATACCAAAACAATTCCATTATGAAAAAAAAATGCTTGTTATAGAAATAATGAAAGCGGAGTATTTAAGTTGTCAATTGATAAAAATAGCGTCACAAACCCACCTCACTACAGCCATTAATGCTGAGAAAATTATCTAGAAATTGCCTAAGCAATTTTATTGATAAAAAATCTTTGAAAGCAACTGGGTACGTCGAAGAAAAAAGATATCTAGATGTAGTTAGCTCTGATAAGGTCTTTTTTTCCTCGAAAAAATGGCTTAAAACTTAAGAAAGAGCACAAAAACAATAGACGCTGATTTCAACGCGCTACAAACCCACTTCCTTTGTATTTTACTAAGCAACCACACCTTAAGGACTTGATATGTATATAAGTGTCTACATCGTACAAAAGACTGAGCTAATTCTCCGAAGCTTAAGTGAGATGCAATTATAATGGGGTGTTTTTTCAAGTCTTTTTTTGCCTCAACAGACCTTTGTCCCGACGGAATAAAAAAAACCTGTGGAACTGCATAAAAATTTAATTTCTTTCCATCATTGTTCGTATGAAAAGATTTTTTCTTTTGAAAATTTCGTTCTAAACGCAGTCGGTAGGGGTTCTTTTTCATAAAGAATTTGTAAAACAGTCTTGGGAACCAGGGCAAGTCTATGCAAACCTAAGTTTTTTCCACATCTTTGCCCACCTTAATAAAACACTGTTATGTCTTTGCTATTTGTCAGTAGGAAGGGATCACCCACGTCCAAGTTACTATGGAGACAATTAAAATGTGTTAACTTGTGTTTTTCAATTCTTTTCTCTTTTTAACAATCTCGGAAAAGCCTAAAGTATTTGTCAATAATCAACGTTGCCTTCAACTAAAATACACCATTATTTTAAAAATATTGAGGCTTATGTGAAATATCGATTTCCAAAAAAATTGAACTTATTGTTTTCCTTAAAGCTGAATGTCACTGGAACCATTCGAATTGTGCGCTCTCTGAGAGAGCTCTGCGTGTTAGACTGTTGTATAAGGAGTCCATTCAGT